ATATCTAATATTATCAATATTAAAACCGCTCTATGATCTTCCGAAGCCATGGAAATTGAAGAGAGCGAAGATGGTAGTGAGGTTGAAGTTCGAAATTGTTTCCCTGTTCCCCATGATGAGTCTCAAAATCAGGTGTGTTTTGTACAAACAATAAAGTGCATATAGATGCCTATTTTCATAAATCTGTTCTGTAAGTGATAAATTATTCTCGCTCTCAGGTTGCCGTAGATATGGTATACCACCAAAGTATGTTCGAACTTCACAAAAAAGTCAATGCCAAAGAAGTGATTGTTGGATGGTATGCTACCGGATCCAATCTCAATCAATGGAATGCTCTTATTCAAGATTTCTATTCTAAGGAAGTTTCGCCTCCATTTCAAGCTATTCATTTAACAATGAATACGGATCTTAAGAATGAAGAAAAACTCTTGGGCGTTAAAACCTATGTTAGGTAAATTTAATATTTTTTTTAAGTATTCTTTGCGACTTATTAATATATTGAAATGAATATTTTCAATTTGATCAGCGCACCAATTGGAATTTCGGCCAAACCAGAGAATTGCTTATTCTTACCGGTTCCATGTGATGTTAAATATTTTGATGCTGAGCGCAGTGGACGTTAGTGATCTAATTTAATTTTGATTTCATAAAAGAATGGTGAATGTCTCAAATACACTACATTCCATTAATCATTTAATTAGTTGATCTACTCGCTTCCGCGAAAGATCAGCCAGATCGCTCAACTTCTCTCATTTCTGATATGGATAACCTTGAAAAAACGATTTTGGTTGTTCAAGAGATGTTGGAGAGAGTTTCAGAATATGTAAATAAAGTCTTAGTAAGTACGAAAACTTTTATTATAAATAATTTTTATATCTTATGCTGATTTCTTAAATTTAATGATTTTTCCCAGGATGGAAGTGTACCTGCAAATAATAAAATTGGGAGATTTTTAATGGATACAATTTCTGTTGTACCAAAGATAAACCAAACAAAAATGAATTGATGGTTATGAAGATGTCACAACTTCATAAGACCCAGAATGATGGTGGTAATTATGATACTATTGCTTATAATGGTGCCTTTAGTCAGTTTCCAATGTTTTATGCATTTGTTATTACAGACGACTCTGACAATGACTCTGATTCCAATGATGGAGTTCTGGATGAAAATCCAATTTTAGAAATTAAAAGCTTAAAACATTATGGCGGTGCTAATCGCGTCAGGGTACGTTTGAAATCAATGGTATTTATATTTAAAGACACGATTTCATTAATATAAATTCGAATTAAAAATTCGGTTATAGATGATGCCTCAAAAAGATTGCTATATAGCAGCAACTTGGGCTGAAACAGGAAAAGTACTCATATGGGATTTAGCACCAGTTATCAATTCACTAGATACTCCAGGCCGACAAATTCCACAGAAAACACAGAAGCCGATTTATACTGTTGAAAGCCATAGTACGGAAGGGTTTGCAATGGATTGGTCAGGGACAGTCGCTGGAAGGTAGACCTAGAAATGACATTCTTTAGTTGTTAAGGGTCTTGCAAAAACAAATTTTATCATCTTGGTTTAATAATTAGGTTAATAACTGGTGATATGCACACGAATATTTATCTCACAACAAAAGCACAATCCACATTTACGGCAACCTGAGAGCGAGAATAATTTATCACTTA